ATTTGTCCCTCTTTAGCTGCTTCCCCTCCCATCTCTCAGGCACTGACTTGGATGCTGTTTCTTCTGTTCAACCTTCCTGAACTAATTAATCATTTTATCCTCTGAGTTTTCTAGCACCCATTCTGCTATAATCACTCTGCTGTGCATCTCTCTTTTGTAGTTCTTTTCTCTTCTTGAGTTCAAGAGTAGGAAGTTCAGGATTTAGTCCTCCATTCATTCCACAAATGCAGTATTATATCTGGCATAGAGTGGGAATTCAATAGATATTTATTGAAGAAATCAATGGGCAAGTGAAACAATGGCTGTGTGGTTTTCATGAATAATTCTGCAGTTACCCATTCTTTATTTTTCTGAAATGTCTTTGTAAATTTCTCAAGTTCATATCACACACACACACACACACACACACACACACACACACACACACACGCACACACACACAATCTAATAGTGGAAAAAATGACATTTTTATATTACTGTAACTGTTGCAATAAAGACATGAACGATTCAATTCTTACTAATATCTACATTAAAGCTGTGGAATTTGTGGTTAAAGCTAATACCAAACTTCTTTTAAAAAGATTTTAAAGTACCCCATCTCCCTTTATGTGCTGCCTTTTAAAGGTGGTAGATTACAAATGATACCAGTCTTAAATATGGGAATAAAATAAAAACGAGTTATTACACATTTACTGAGTATATGATACAGACACCCCAGAACACACACATACACATACATTCTAAATTAAATATTTTAAAGGTTAGAGTGTTTTCTTACTCTTTAAAGAAAGTCGCCAAAGATAAGTCAATTGTTGTGTAGCTTTCCTAAAAATCAGATTGGCAGCTTTAATCTATATAATAAAACTATTATTTCATTCCCTATGGCCAACTATTTTATTTTAATCTCTTATTGAATATTGTAAAAATGGATACTTTTACTTCAGTTTTTAACATTTATTGTCCCAGATAAATGATTTGAAATTAACTACCACTGGCTAAGATGGCTGTTGTTACTATAGGGGCTATTGGTCTTAATAATATAGGCCTTAGCCAGGTAGTTTCATACTTTGTAGTGATGCTGGTCTTTTAAAAAGGTACAGTTCCCTTTCTCCTGTGAGTTATCTGTAGTACTGTCAAATTGAATTTGCCTCTGGCTCAATTTTCTTTCGTTTTCTTTTTTTCCCTCATCGGTTTCACGTATGCCTTCTTCTTTGCTTTATATGTGTTCCCCTGCCTGAAACACAGGCCCCAATGTATTTTGGGGCTCGAGTCTTTTTGTTCTGTTATTTTATATCATTTTGTTTCAACAGGGTAGAAGAAAAATCATTGACCAATGACTTACCCATACAGAAGTTAAATAATGGTAATTGAAATTACTTTAAGTGACAAAGATTTAGTTTTGCTTTCCTCCAGAAGTATGATGTAATGTTTATGTATAATTGGTATGTAGTTCTTTTAACATTAATAGTTCTTTGCAATTGAGTTTAGATTTCAGTTTTAAAGTCTGTCTATAACATTCAGCCCTCACAGCTCTAGCAAACAAGGACTATTCATTCAATTTTAATGTTGATCAATATGCATTTATTGTTGCTAAAGATTAAAATCATCTTTCAGATAAGCATCATTTAAAATTCATTTTGGATGTCTTTCACAGTCAATCCCTCTTTGATGAATTTAATGTTGCTTTGTCTTCTGAATGACATCACACCTTTGATTAAAACTTTCTGAAAAATCATAGCATTCGTTGGTCAAGTTGCAATAGCAATATTCATTTTATAATTTTTACTTCTAGTCTCATGTCAGATAATTGTAACATGTATTTTATTTTTTATTGATTTTATTGAGCTCTAAATTTTTCTCTGCTCCTCTCTCTGCCACTCCTCTTCCTTTCAACCCTCTCCCATGGTCCCCATGCTCTGAATTTATTCAGAAGATCTTGTCTTTTCCTACTTCCATGTAGATTAGATCCATGCGTGTCTGTCTTAGGGTCTTCCTTGTTGTCTAGGTTTTCTGGGGTTGTAATTTATAGGCTGGTTTTCTTTGCTTTATGTTTAAAAACTACTTATGAGTGAGTACATATGATAATTGTCTTTTTGGGTCTGGGTTACCTCACTTAATATAATGTTTTCTAGATCCATCCATTTGCCTGCAAATTTCAAGATGTCATTATTTTTTTCTGCTGTGTTGTACTCCAATGTGTAAATGTACCACATTTTCCTTATCCATTCTTCAGGCGAGGGGCATTTAGGTTGTTTCCAGGTTCTGGCTATGACAAACAATGGCTATGAACATAGTTGAGCACATGTCCTTGTGGCACAGATTGAGCATCCTTTGGATATAAACCCAAAAGTAGTATTGCTGGGTCTTGAGGAAGGTTTTTTTTTCAAATTTTCTGAGAAATCGCCATACTGATATGGTCTGGGAGAATTGTCTGTATTCTGTCAATCATGTATTTTAATAAAACACTGATTGGCCAGGCAGGAAGTATAGGCGGGTCAACTAGACAGGAAGTATAGGCAGGGCAATGAGAACAGGAGAAGGCTAGGAAAAAGGAAGTCCATTCCTCCATTCTTGCCCATACCATCGAAGAAGCAACATGTGAGTTGACAGCTGGAAAAGGTACTGAACCACATGGCTAACACAGACAAGAATTATGCATTAAGATAAGTCATAAGAACTAATAAGTAGCCTGGCCAATTAGTGTTTTATTAAAATATATGATTGACAGAATACAGACAATTCTCTGCACTCCCACCAGCAATGCAGGAATGTTCCCTTTTCCCCACAACCTCTCTGGCATAAGTTGTTATCAGTGTTTTTGATCTTGGCCATTCTTACAAGTGTAAGATGAAATCTGAGTTGTTTTGATTTGCATTTCTCTGATGACTAAGGATATTGAGCATTCCTTCAGTGTCTTTCAGTCATTTTAGATCCTCTGTTTAGGTCTTTACTCCACTTTTTTATTGGATTATTTGTTCTTTTGATGACCAATTTCTTGAGTTCTTTGTATATTTTGGAGATCAGAACTCTGTCTGATGTGGGGTTGGTGAAGATTTTTTCCCGTTCTGTAGGCTGTTGTTTTGTCTTGTTGACAGTGTTCTTTGCTTTACAGAAACTTTTCAGTTTCTGGAGGTCCCGTTTATTAATTGTTTCTCTCAGTATCTGTACAACTGGGGTTATATTTAGGAAGTGGTCTCTTATGCCTATACATTCAAGTATATTTCCCACATTCTCTTCTATGATGTTCAGTGTACCTGGCTTTATGTTGAAGTCTTTGATCAATAACATGTGTTTTAAATTTGAATGACTTAAATATTAGCTCTTAATCACAAAATTTTTGGTTTAGTTTGAAACTGCCAAATGAGTTATGAGTTTCTTTGTCTTGATCATTTCTTTAGGGTGTTGTTATTAATTTTAATTGACTATCTTCCATTCCAACAATAAAATCAACTGGTTCAATGATATCTTTGTTGTGAAGTGGAAATTAATTTGAGAGAAAATATGCAATTGATTTATGGCACATTCATCACTTAGTTCAGGGGAAGTTTGATTTTTCTACCTGTGGTCTTACAAGGTCAGGATTGCCCATTGGGACTGAGAACAATGTAGTTCTAGTCTTTTCTGTGTAAAACTCTTTAATGGGTAATAGGCAATCATTGTGAATGTCTTAAATTACAAGATAACTAAACACACTAGATATATGAACTATAGACAATTTAAACATCTCTAGAAAATTACCTTATAAATATAGCTAATTAATTAAAGTACTGATTCAATGGACTAAATCACTGATTAAGTGGAGATGAACACAACCATTTTTTTTAAAAAAAAATAGATTTTAATGAACAACATATGTATGCTTAGTTCACTTTTCTTCCTAAGGCATATTCCTTCTTTGTTTCTATTTCCTTAATCTGAGGATTGCTGTAGTCTGTGCTGGAAATTACCACTCAATCCAAAATTACACAGTGTTTATCTGATTTCTCAAAATAAACAGACTGTAGGACTGAGTTCAGAACTAAGCAGAGCAATTTAAGTATTGGAGTCTTTAATCTCAGTAATGATACTCCTCAGTTCTTAGCAATCTTGGGGGTTCTTTAGGCTTGTTAACTTTTGTGACTTATTTTTCCTTCTCTTCCTCCATCAACCAAGGCAGGTGGCTGGGAGGACTAATAGTTGGCAGCATTTTTTGTTGTTCGTAGCAGAATCCAAGCTCTTCCTTTAAAACAGACTTTCTTAAAAGAAAAAAGGAACAAAAAGTACTGTTCCTTACAGTTCATTTTAAAAGCAACAGGTTTGCTTTTATTAGAGAAATACTACATGTAATAAATAGAAGCTTCGTGATTCTGATTGTTGACAGTAATTCGTGATGTTGCATTATTAAGACTGGGTGATCTCTGCATCATGGCCTTTATCCTAAATTTGTGTATATATCTATATGCACTAGAGCTGGATGAAAGCAATGGTTTTAGTATGTGTTGTGTCATTTTCTTTTATTTTCTCTTTCTTTTTTTGGAAAAGTATGGGTGTGGTGGCACGGAGGAGTGGGGATACTGAGGTTAACTTGTTCTAATGAAACTAGGTATAGTGACTTAAATAGATAGGATTCTTGCATTGACCTGATAGGAAACTGTTATTTGAGACTGGCATTGTGGTCTGCATCCTGGAGAAGACACAAACTACCCTGACTCTTATCATTGTCATATGTGTCCACTCTTCAGACTTGCTTCATGCACTGATAAAACAGCTGGCTGTTCTTCTTACTTAGGGCTTATAGTAGTCTATTGATTTTGTTTCATGTTATGTTTAAATCAACTGTCTTTATTTTATCCTATCCTAAGGGGCTTTTTTATTTACTGAGTTTCCTTTAAATCTGAGTCTCACTCTGTAAGACTGATGAGCGCCATCAGTTAAGTGACACACACGCTGTTCATGTTATCTGGCAGTTTCTGCTGTAACCATGAATCACCTAAAATATTATCCTATCTACTGTATTATAGGAAAAGCAGAGGTTTCTGACAGATGTTCTGCATGAAGTGATGCTGCTGGACGGCTTGGCCAGTTCCCATCCAGTATCACAGGAAGTGCTACGGGCAACAGACATCGACAGAGTGTTCGACTGGATCGCATACAAAAAGGTGGGATAGAAGAGAGCCCCATGCCCACGAGCTATTTCACTATTGGGACAGATAGCCTATTTCATGCTACATGTTTTATATTTTCCTATTCTTTCTCACAAATGAAAATTAATTGCAAGTAGGAAATGGGTTACTAGGTTCCCATCATCCCATGAATAGGACTTGGCTTTATAAATGACTAAAATGGAAATGAATGTTGCCAAACACTGTATGGAAATATTCAAAGTATTAATGAGTAAATGTTTGGGAATTTCGTTTGAAATTGCTGTACAAATGGCGTATGTAAATGTCAGTTGTTAGTACTAAGAATGTTATTAGTGACAAATTCCTTCCGCTAGTGTCCCTTAAATACTTGACTGACTGATACAAATGGGTCTATGTAGTGACAGAACACATGCATGTTATAAGTAACTTTTTAAAGGAGTTTTGGGGAACTGGGTATGTTTCCTGAATGATATAGCAAAGTAAACAGAAATTAGAAGCTTTTGAATGAATGAGGAAAACTTTGAATCAGTGACAAGTCATAACTTTAAGGCACATGTCAGTTTTCTCACTGTTTCAAGGATTATGATTTATCCTTAGAACTCTATCCCTTGATTTAATTTTTTTACATGAGGATGTATGTCTTAGTCTTTACATATAGTAGTCATTTAATAGGTAGATGAAGACTCACCTCATTTTTAGTATATGATGAACTACACTTATTAGAATTTCTATGTAGTTTTTATTCAGTTGTCTCATAATGTCATAAGCTTTAAAAAGTTACTAAGGTTACTTTGTCTACAAATATATTTATTTATGATAACTAGAAATAAAAATAATTCATCAGAACTTCTAGGTATGCTGACTATGCTAATGTAGATACTTGATTTTGTGCTAAGTATTGTCTCTCTAAATGATAACTAATTAGGAATGTAGGCAATAGTATTTAAAGATGCTTTGTTAGTAGAAAATGTCATTGCATTTGATTAAGTAGAGATCTTTTAATATTTTTAAGAGTAATACCATTTAGGTTCATGATATATTTATCATGCTTTATTAATTTGTATATGATGAGTTTTGGCTATGTTTAGTTGCTATGTATTTAATTTATTTAGTGATAGTAATATTTTTCATATATTCTATAAAGTACTATATTAAGACATTCCAGACAGACAGTAATGTATCTAGTTATTTTACCCATTCTTGATTCTAAACAGCTGTTTGTAAACACTAATTTTACATCAACATGATTAAAATCATGTCAATATAATTTTGATCAACTGTAATATCAATGTCCCTTAATAGGGAACACCCAATCTGTATTCTATAGAATTGCAGAGTGTCAATATGATTAAAGTGGACTAAGAATAGAAACAATAGTAAGTCTGAATATATGGTGATTTTCATTATATTCACTTTATATTTTGGCAAAGAAGCATGCTAGTTTACTGATATGAAAGATCAGCCACCTATGTTGAGGTTCTCAGGACCACCATGGAGAGAGTTTCTGATGAACGTTTTACGAGCTGTATATATAATTATGCTTCAATCATCAGTAGTGATGTAGCCTTTGCTCTAATATTTGGAGTGCCATTGTCATACAATAAACTGTACATATTTAGAAGGTACAGTCTGATAGTTGCTAACAAGTAAAGGCAGTGCAAATACATCGCAATCAAGTGAAGAATACATACATCACTATAAGAGCTTCTGAAGTCCATTTTATATCCTGCCTTCTCCATGCTGATCATCTTTCCTGTGAATTAATTTGCAGTTTTGAAAGACTTATAGAAACACTACACACACACACACACACACACACACACACACTACACACACACACACACACAGACAGACAGACAGATACACACACACACACACATATGCTTTCTCTTTCATTCATTATACTTATCTCAAAGCACATACATATTGACAATTTATAGGTATGCAAACAATTTATTTATTTATGGGTTTGGCTATTGAAAATATTACTGCCCATGCTTCGGCACAACCTCAGGCATCTTTGCTAGCCGCAGAGTCTCCATGCCCCATCTTTTTACCACTTATGTAACTCAGGGTGGGTCTTTTTGACTCTTGGAACTTTTCTAGTTTCAAGTCTTTGCTAAGTTGTGTGAGTTTCCCCAACCATATAAATTGCATTCGCCTTTCTCCACCCTACTAGAGAGAATGTTTCAGTTAAGATGAAATGCCTAGTCAGCAAGCTCACTCTTTTCTTCCCTGAGTTTCCTTTGCACAGAGCTGAGAAACCCTGAACCATACACATTAGGTTTGGTTTCTGGACCACTTCGTCTGTTGCTCTAATATATATGTACTTATTTGGTTCCAGCACTGTTGTGTCTTCCTAACTGAATCATGAAATAAGACCACACCAGCCCTCCAGCTTGCTTTATTTTAAAGTTCTTCAGTCCTTCACGGTGTTTTGCATTTTACACAAAGGAGTTTGCTAATTCCTATAAAATTTACACTGGAGTTGTTAGGATTGTGTTGTATTGGTAAAACCATCTGGGAAATTGACATTTTAACAATACTGCTTTAACAGACAAAGTGTACTTTGATTCAATTCTGTCAGGACACTCAATTCTGTCAGGTCCCTGTCCTGGTCTCTCAGCTATGGAGTTTATAATGATCTTTCATACCATCTTACAGGTTTATCCCTGGATAGTTCACATTTTGAACTTTTAGATGTGGTATTTTAAATTTGTGTTTCGAGTTTTTGTTATCTATATAGATAGAACTTTGTGGAACTGAAGGCGTTAAGAGCATTGACTGCTTTTCCAGAACACTAGGTTTGGATTCCTAGCACCCACATTGGGGCTCATAATTTTTCAAAACTCTCTTTCCAGGCCCTCTTCCTCTCTCTTCTGGCCACTACAGGCATTTCATACATCTGGCATACAGATATACATGCATCGAAAACATGTTCATATTTAAAAAAATTAAAGTTAGAATTAAATATGTTTTTGGACTTCTACAGTAAAATAGTTATAAGTTTTTGTCTATGAATGCTATGAATGAATGAATTGTGACTCTTATAAAATTATATTTCTCTAGTCTCTGAAATTTTCAGACATCGATACAATGTATCATGATCATCTCCATTTATCACCTGCTCCCTCTTTCTTCTAAGATCATGCTCGCCCTATTCATTTATTTATTTATTTATTTGTAAATTAAGTGAATCTGATTTGTTTTTCTCATCTGTGCTAAGACAAGGTGTCATCCCCTGATGCATGGAAAACTTACCAGGGACCGCACTCCTAGAGAAAAGTGAATTTTCCTCCCCTGTTAGCCTTCGGCTGCCAAGAGCATCTCAGATAGGAGGAGAGCCTTGGGATCCCTATCCCAATCCATGTTGAAGGCTTTTATTGACTTGACCTTGTGAAGACCTTGCTCAGGGATGCACAGTTCACTGTGAGTTCATCTGTGTGACAGCATGTAATGTTTATTGGACAGCATTTCACAGCTCCCTTCCCCATTCTCTGACTCTTACATTCTTTCTGCCCCTCTTTTACAATATTGCCTGAGTCTGATAATGACGTTAAAGGAGCCAGTCCTGCTTTTCCCTATATGGCTGAACATTAACTGTCGGTTTTATTTTCAGCAGTTCTCTCTGATCAGTAGGGAGGTCTGATCACAGGGAGGCCACCTATGCCTGGCACTGAGTATCTCTGGGTGTTTATCTGTACCCTTTATCATGGTACATTCTCCTCCCAGAGTGCTCAGTTTTATCCAGAGTGGGATGCAGATTCCATCAAACCCTTTCGTGTATCAAGATATCTCTCTCCATACTTTTTAAAAAAATCTTTTTAGTTTGCTCATGTCTCAACTTTTATTGATTGACTTTCAAAGTTTCATCTTTCTTTGTACTGCTGGCAGACAATTTCCACTCCATATTCTTCTTGTAATCCATTGTTCAAACAACTTGCTAAAGCCAAATCTAGATATTTTGTACCACTGTTCATCAGTGATACCAATGTTCTTGGCTCTTAGTAATCTCTATTGGTAATATCCTCACGTGGCACTGTCTCTTTTTTTATCACTTTATTGAGCACATCATAAAATGGGGACTTATTATCTCTTTCAATTTTATAATAATATGTGTCAATTTTTTTAAAAATTAAAGAAATGTTTAATAGTTTTTCTAGAATAGGAGTATAGATAGACCTGAAATTTCTTTCATGAAAAACATAAAAAAATCAAGAATTTACATTCCTTAAAATAGCATGCATTTTCTGAGTTTTTAATTTAAGCTTGATTGAGTTTTGTTAACTTGTTTCTGTTTCAAGGATTGGCTCCATTTTATCTAAGACGTTTACCTTTTTGACATAAATTTCTAGACACCCTTCATTATTTATTTAATTGCTACAGAATCTCAAATGATGTAAGCTGAACCCACATATTAGTCACTTGTATATTATCCCTTTGTGCCTGCTTTGTAAAACTTTGAAACTTATAAATGTTATTCATTTTCTCAAAGAAGAGCTCTTGATAAAATACATCTTCTCTTGTTGCCTCTTTTATATATTACTTTTCTCATTATTATTCCTCTTTTCTGTATAATTTTTATTTTTTTATCTTTCTTTTCTTTTTTTCATAATTTCTTAAGATACAAGCTGAGTTTAACTCGAAACTCCATTTATCTATTTTAGCTTTAAGTATTTATTCAATGATACTTTTCCTCCAGATGTATTCCCAGAAATTCTTTAAAAGTATAGTACTTATATTATGACCTCCATCTCATTCACTTGTACTATGTAATTTTCTGTTTCATTTTTTTAAACTGCACTATCAGTTATTTATAGTAGGTTCTTAGTTTATGAGTACTTGAAGTTTGCCAGAAAGATGCCTGCTGTTAATTTCTGACTTCTGCTGTAGCCGTTAGAATAATACACACTGTATGACTTGACTCTTCTTAGATTGATAAGCCTTGTTTTATGACCTAGAAATTGATATTACTGTGTGAGGACACTAGTGTTGGCCAAGTGTTCTATTAATGG